GGAAGAGCTCACCTCCATCCTCAATGAACTCACTCAGCTGAGCAAAAGCGAGCACTGCAAAGTGGCCCTCCGCGCCCGACAGGTAGGGTCTACAGCGCGGTCCCCACTGTGCAGGGTCCTCCTCATACTTCCATGCGGCCCCCAGCGTGCACAACGCCATCACGTGTAGTCACTCTGTACTGCTGTCTTGTGTCTTTCTGTGAGGTTGGCTCACCCTAGCTCCTGTCCCCCCTCCCCCTTCAGGTCCTGATTGCCTCCCACCTTCCATCCTATGAACTCAGACACAACCAGGTGGAATCGATTTTCCTCTCTGCCATTGACATGTATGGCCATCAGTTCTGCCCAGAAAACCTCAAGGTGAGAGGTCCTCTCTTTCCTTCCACCTGTCCTCCAGGCTCGCTGTCCAGTCCAGCATGGCCAGAGCTGCCCGAGGGATGTCAGTGGCTCTGGGAGAAGTGGGCGGGAGCCCCATGCTGCAGGATGTAGTGTCAGGCAGTGAAGGCTCCTTGCAGGTCCAGTTTCAAAACTCAGGCGTGGTAGGGCATATATGGAAGCGGCGAGCTCTCATGGGGCTAAGTTGCAGCCTTGTCTTCCCAGGCCCTCCCTCCCCAACTCTGCTCCTTTACAAGCTCCCAGGTACCCTTTTGGCATCTGGAACTGGAGATGCCATCATCTTAGAGTTTCTGTCACTGTTAGATGTTCCACTACTAAATGTAGAAGGAACCACAGACGGGCTTTGGCTGTGTCAAGTGATGGCAATGTGACCAGCTCTCTCCCAGCCGATTTTACCTCCAGCTCTTCCATCTGGTCACTAAAATGTGGTAATCGTAACTTTTTCTTTCTTCCACTTTCCATTTTCCATAGAAATTAATACTCTCAGAAACAACCATATTTGACGTCCTACCCACTTTCTTCTATCACGCAAACAAAGTCGTGTGCATGGCTTCCTTGGAGGTAAGCAGGGAGGCCCACCCAGCAATAGCAACAATCGATGTGCAGGTTCTAGCATGCCCTGTCCACTCTCCATGCACCTGACCTTGTCGCTCTCTGCAAGGTAGGTACTATTACTATCCTCGTCCTATAGAGGAAAGAGCCGAGTGGCTCAGAGAGGTGAAGTGACTTGCCCATGGTCACATAACTAGGAAGGAGCAGCACCCCTTTTACACTAGGTCAGTGTTAGTCCAGAGTCCATGTTCGTGACCACCACCGTCTCGTGTGTTATTCCTGCCTCCTCTGGCAAGGCACAAGTACTAACCCACCCGAAGCCAAGGCCAAGACACATGATCCAAACCTTCCAACTCATATGTGTTCAGTGTCTTTGAAAGACTTTACTGCATGGGCCTATGAGAGAAGAAGGAGCCTAGACGACGGATTAAGTGACTGCCCCACTAGATGGGGCTGAGAAGGGCAGCACCAGAAGGAAAACCAGGTCTGAGCCAGGTGTTCTTGCTCCTGCTCCGATCTTCCTGAATTCAGGGGCCAAGAGAGGTTTTGCTGGTGTCAGGAAATCAGAGTTCTTTTTTTTTTTTTTTTCTTTGAAGAATTATTTTTTTTATTTATTCATTCATTTATTTCATTTTTTTATTTTGACCAGAGAGGGACAGAGCAAGAGAGAAGGAGAGAGTGGGAAAGTGAGAGAGCAAGCCTCCAGGTCCAGGACTTGAACCGTGGTTGGCCATGTGGGAGTCCAGCGTCCTTAACCACCATGCCACCTGCCGGCCCCGAAATCAGAGTTCTTAATCTGTTCTTCCACTTTCAAGAAAGTGAGCTGCCACCTCGTGCTGCCCATGTGGGTTTGTTGCTTGGCGTCTCTGAGCTGAGGGTGGTTTGTTTTCCTGTCCTCACCCTAGTGGTCCCTGTGGCCCCCACTGCCTCCTGTGCATCTCTTAGACCCTGTGGGTGGCCCATCTGATGCCAGAGGTTGACTGGGTCCCCTTGGGACCTTACTGGACTCATGATCACCTCACAGCCTCAGGGCTATTTCACCCCTCCAGGTGCTAACTCTGGCAAAATCCTTCTCAGGACTCACTCTTCATTTCCAACAGTTTGTCCACAGCTGCTTCCATGCTACCATGGCAGAGCTGAGTAGTTGCAACCAAAATGATAAGTCCTGCAAAGCCTAAAATGTCTACTCTCCAGCACGTGTGTGTGTGTGCACACGCGTGCGCGCACGTACACACTTTGTGGTGTCCCAACTAGGTTCTGTTGAATTTTTTTTATTGCCAGAGGGCACATGTGCTTGACAGGGAGAGGGAAAGGGAGACAGCAATCCCAACAGGGCATGGTCATGCCGTAATCCCTTCCCCTCCATTTCCCCATTCTGTTGGGATCTGGGGGACACATGCACATGTACCTGGTGTGATTTTTTTCTCACCCATTGAGGCTGAGATTCTCACTGCAGTTGGCCATGTAGGATCTGGCTCCCCTAACCACTAGACTGTGGGGCCAAATTTGACTTTCTGTGTTAATTGTGGTTTTAGTTTACATATGATCATTAGTACCTAGCCCTTTATAGAAGGTTTCTTAATCCCTGCTCTAGAGTTTAGGGAGTGGATTTTGTGTAGCTGGTAACATTCTGAAACATATGAGCACATCTGCTCTTAACTGATCTTAGGGATCCTCTAGACAGCATTCCGTGTCACCCTTCCCCTGAGTGTTCTCAGGTTTTGAGGACACTCTGCGGTGCCCTCTGAGATAAGATTTGCTGTTTCTTTCTCTCAGGTGTACGTACGGAGGGGCTACATTGCCTATGAGCTAAACAGCTTGCAGCACCGGGAGCTCCCAGACGGCACCTGCGTGGTAGAATTCCAGTTCATGCTGCCCTCTTCCCACCCAAACAGGTATGGAGCGCTGCACCCCTGGGCATGGCCCAATTCTCTTCTCTCTGACCACTGTAGTCTTATCTTTTTCTTAAGAGAGATTTTTGGTATAAAGTATGTGTGCTTGCCAGAGAGACAGAAAGCAAGAAATCACCTTCGCCCCCCCCGGGGGAGGGGATGGCCACACCGCAATCCCTTCTCCATTCTCCTCTTGGGATCTTGGGCATGCAAACACATGCACCTGGAGTGAGTCACAAGCCATCAGGTCCAGGACTTGAACCATGTTCAATCATGTGGGAGTCCAATGACATAACCATTATACTGGTCCCTTAACTCCTTCTTTTTTTTTAAAAAAAAGAATTACTTAACTTTATTTACTGATTTATTTATTTTAATTTGGTCAGGGAGAGACAGAGTGAGAGAGGGAGAGGGAAAGTGAGAAAGCAAGCCAGCAGGTCCAGGACTTGAACTGTGGTTGACTATATGGGAGTCCAGTGCCTTTAACTACCACGCCACCTGCAGGCCCCCCTTAACTCCTTTTAAAAAAGATATTTACCAGAAGTCACATGCACTCACAAGACACAGACAGAGAGGGAAACTGAGAGAGCACGTCCCTTGGGGAATAGTCACACCTCAGTCCCTTCTCTTCTGTTTCTCCTCCTTTCAGTATTTTGGGCACATATGTGCACATGCCCCAAAACACACCAGGTCTAAGACTCAAACCATGCAGTTGGCCATGTAGGATCCAGCTGCATTAACCACCACACCACCAGCTGGCCCCCAAAAATCAGTTCTTCAATGTGGGTGGAGAGGAAACAAACTCAGGCTCCCTAAAGAAAGCAGGTGCTCAATGTGGCCACATTTATACCATGTAGGTGCAGGGAACTGCACTTTTCATTTAGGGCATGATGAGAACCCACCCACATCCAAGTTCCTGCCAAGGGCCATCCTGGCAAACAGGCCCTCTTTGTAAGACAGTCTTTGTCAGCTCTTCTCCATAATACCACCTGCCAGCCCCTCTGGCACCTGGTCTCAGGATTCTCACAGCCAGGTGACCCCTTTTGGGTTGGCTCCTGGTGAGCAGCTTGTCCTGGCAGCCATAGCCGAAGACTCAAACAGAGTTTGGACTCTAATAAGCTGCTGATTTTGTCCCAAGAGCAGGTTGGATGGTGGAGGAGGAGTTAGGAGGTACAGCCTCACCCCTTACCAGCCTCCCAGGCCAGAGCTCTGCAGGAGAAACTGACAGTGCAAGTATTCATTCCTGAGTTGACTGAGTTTACCACTTAGGATTTCCCATGAGATCATGTTGGGGCTGGACTTGCTTATATGCGTCATTTGTTCTTTTGTTCATTCATTCACTTGTTGAGCTCTTACTCTGTAGCCAGGTCCTGAGGAATCAGAAGAGATCCCTTAGCCCCTGACTCCAACTTCATCTCTGTAAACACCACTCCCCTGTTTTGGAACCAGCAGTTAGCATAATGGCTATGTCGCTGGGCTCCCATGTAGTCGACCGCGGTTTGCGTCCTGGACCCGGTGGCTTAAACTCACTCCAGGCGCATGTGCGTGCGTGCCCAAGATCCCGAGAGGAGAATGGAGGAGAAGGGATTGCAGCGTGGCCATCCCCATGGGGGATGATTTCTTGCTTTCTGTCTCTCTGTCTCTCTCTGCCTTTCTGGCGAGTGCATGTGCCATATAGCAAAAACCTCTCCAAAAAAAAAGAAGAAACAAAAAAGAATCAGAAGAGATCCCTTAGCCCCTGACTCCAACTTCATCTCTGTAAACACCACTCCCCTGTTTTAAGCCCCCTTTTCGGGGGCAGGTGGGATCTAATCTGGCTCACCAGAGCTCTAGGAGCAACTCTTAGGGTTGGGTCCGCAGAGAGCCTTTTCACCCACTCCTGGTCGTCTCCCTGCAGGATGGCCATGCCCATCAGCGTCACCAACCCTGATCTGCTAAGGCACAGCACAGAACTCTTCATGGACAGTGGCTTCTCTCCACTGTGCCAGCGGATGGGCGCCATGGTGGCCTTCAGAAAATTCGAGGATTTCACCAGGTACCCAGCAGGACCCAGCTTCCAGATACCCTGCGCAGGGGGCTGGGCGGACCTCCCTTGGCCCAGGGAAGGGCCCAGGGGAGGCCTACACCTGTTCACCTGGCACAGACACCCGGCACAGCGAGTTAGTAATGGCAGAATCATAACAGTACAGTAGCCCAGAGATTGAGCTCATATGTCCATGTTTCTGGCTCTGAATCCTGGCTCTGTACCTCCTAGCTATTTGACTGAGCAAATCATTTCTCCTCTCTGAACCTTACTTTTCTCATCTCTAAAATGGGAATAATAGATGGACCCACCTCATAGGGACACCATGCAAATGAAATAAGATATTTGTAAAATAACGTATTTCAAGTGTGCTGTGTACATGACATCTTAATCAGTAATGGTAGCTATTGGTACTCTTGCTGTTCTTGCTGTTTCTCATCCTGCTCCTGGGGGTTATAAGTCATAGTTGGATTATCTTGTGGAATTTTCACAACAGCCTTACAAGGAATGGTGATTACTCTTCCTTTCCTTGTTTGACTCAGAGGTGAGGCGAGGATTCTAGGGACTCCCAGTCAAGTAGAAGGGGAACTATGTGTCAACCTCAAGCCCAGCCAGTGCCCCAAAGTGTTGAGGTCTTTCTTTTTATTCCTGGTTACAGATCCCATGGGTTCATTCTTCCCTGTTGAGAAAGACCCTACAGGGGCTTCTCAGACCTAGTCAGGGAACCACATGAACTGGGCATAGAGTTAAGTGGGATCGGGGGCAGGGGAGAGGAAGAGCTTAGGAATCTGGGTGCCTGGCTTGGAACTTGACCTTAGTCCCCTTGGAAAAGTGGTCCCTTAGCTCTTCCTCTTATCCCGTTCTCCCAGGAACTTCGATGAAGTCATCTCCTGCTTCGCCAATGTGCCCAAGGACACCCCCCTCTTCAGCAAGGCCCGCAACTCCCTGTACTCTGAGGATGATTACAAGGTGAGCATCTGAGCCAGGGGGCAAACTGCGGATGGAACTGGGCTGCGGCCCCTGGACCCTTCTCTTTGCAGCCCATGTGTTTTTCTCCCAGAGCCTCAGAGAAGAACCCATTCACATCTTGAATGTGGCCATCCAGTGCTCAGACCAACTGGAGGACGAGGAGCTGGTGCCCATCTTCCGGACGTTCGTGCAATCCAAGGTACATTGGGCAAGCCTCTGGTTTATAAGGTGAGGCAGCTGGTTGAAGTTTGCCTGTCCTTTAACCAAGTCATATGGAGCTTAAGATACTTGGTGGTTCTTAGCCAGAGAGGGCAGTGGGAAGGACCAGGATCACGTTCGGAAAATGTGGGCAGGAAGGGCTCCAATAGCACAGATCGCCATGCTGTGAAGTGCCATGTGGCTGTGAGAAGGGACACAGATCTCCAATACCCACCTGGAAGGATAGCCATAAGATCAAAGAGGTTCCCTGTGTATATCTCTGCATATGCCTGTATGATCCGTATAATATGTGGCATATCTAAGAGGTAAGAGCTAGAAGGATATACACCAACTAGGGGAAAGGAAAGAGTTGTTTTTTTTTTTTTTTTTTTTGCCAGAGGGTATGTGTATTAACCAGGGAGACAGAGATAGAGGAATAAGGAGAAAGCACCTCCCACTGAGGCGTGGACACACTGCAGTCCCTTCTCTCTTTTTCCATCCTGGGTTCAAGTCCTGGCCCTGGTGGCTTGAGAAGCATGCTGGGTGCCTGTGTGTGCATGCCCAAAATCCAGAAAGGAGGAGAGATGGAAGAGAAGGGATCGCAGTGTGACCATGCTCCGTAAGGGGATGCTTCCTCACACCCCATCTCTCGTGAATGCACACATCCTTTAGCAAGAAAAAAAAAGTGTGTATTTATGGTGTGCACTGTGATGTTTGGGTAGTCTTTTTTGCTTTGTTAAGAGTTAATTTGCACACTAAACACATCCATTAAGTGTGCAATTGAATGCTTTTGGTATATTCATGGAGTTGTGCAGCCATCACCACAATTAATTTTGATCACTTTTCTCATGGCCCCCCCAACAATCCTGCACCCAAGAGCAGTGATTATACTTTGTCCCCCAAACCAAATATCTCTCCCACCCTCCAGCCTTAGGCAATAATCTACTTCCGGCTCTGTGGATTTGGCCTCTTCTGGACATTGTATGTAAACAGAATCACACAGAAAAGAGGTCTCTTGTGGCCGAATTCTTCAACTTAGCATAAGGTTTACAAGGTTCGTCCACTTTGGTAACACTCTCGTCTTCAATCCTTTTATGGCCAATAATGTTCCATTGTATCTTTGCTTTTAATGTAGAAAAATATCCTTGTGGAATATGGACTCCGAAGAATCACGTTCTTGATCGCCCAAGAGGTCAGTACCAGTTCTCGGTTCATCTATGTGAGTCTTATATATCCTCGAGCCTCAGCACCTTATGTTTGATGTGTATTCTGTAGATTGGGGTAGAAGGGATCAGTCACTAGAAAAGAACACTTTCCAGATGATTCATTCTAAAAGTGCCTTGAGTTATCATTAACAATCATAAAATAAGTGTATATATATCTTTATTTCAGGGAGTCTTGCCTGATTTAATTTTTTGCATGGATCTTTTTTTTTTTTTCTTTGCAGAAAGAATTTCCCAAGTTTTTCACATTCAGAGCAAGAGATGAGGTATGCCCAAAAGCAAGGGTGTTATTCTTCCCTGGTCCTTGGTGCTTAAAGCATCCCATATTCTAGAACACGGCCACTTTTGTGCTGGACTCCTGCCTTCCTCTGGGATTGTATTTCCATTGGGAAAAGCAAAAACAAAAACAAACAAAAAGGACAAGGCATCTGGTCCACAAACATAGTTTGTCTACCACTGTTCTAGAAGAATGTAAGAGCAAGAGGTTGTCTGAGGGCTGGATGGTGGTACGCAGTAAAACCTGACACTGCGAGGCTGACACATGTGAGAAGATTCTGAGTTTGTGGCTGGAGTTTCTCTGAGAATGCCAGGCACACATACGCTCATGGCCCGGGGCTGACTGAAGCTGGGGGTGGATCATGGCATAAAGACTCTGTTGGGGGTACTGTTTCTATTTTTTTTTTTCTCTTTGTCTCTCTTGACCAAAGAAAAATAAATAAACTTAAAGAAAAAAAGAGAAAGAGGTTGGTGAAACCATCTTACTGTCTGATCGCCTGTAGTTTGCAGAAGATCGCATCTACCGTCACCTGGAGCCCGCCCTGGCCTTCCAGCTGGAGCTCAGCCGGATGCGCAACTTTGACCTGACTGCCGTGCCCTGTGCCAACCACAAGATGCACTTGTACTTGGGCGCTGCCAAGGTGAAGGAAGGGGCAGAAGTGACAGACCACAGGTTCTTCATCCGCGCCATTATCAGGCACTCGGACCTGGTCACAAAGGTATGATGTCACCACAGGGTGTTTCTTTCTCCCCATGAGCCCGTCCCTCACACCCAGGCCTTTTCTCCCTTGAGCTCCTGCTCAGTTTCAGGCCCTGGGCTGCATGCTGGGATTGGAGGGTGCACAGGGCACACCCTGCCCTGTTTCTGAGATGCTCTAGTCTGGGGCAGGAGGTGGACAGCCAGGTGGCCTGTTGCCATGTCTCATTGATGGCACTTGGATCCATTGATTGATAGATTAATTGATAGGTAGGTAGGTACGTAGATAGATAGATAGATTTTTGCCGTAGGGTGCATGTACTCACCAGAGAGACAGAGAAAGAGAGACAGAAGGCGAGAAATCCCCCAGGATGTGTGCCCACACTGCAATCCTTTCTCTTCTCAGAATCTTGGGCACACACGCACACACACCCAACGTGAGTTTCAAGCCTTCCAGTCCGAGACTTGAACCACGATTGGCCATATGGGAATCCAGAGACATAACCATTACACCATCTGCTAGTCCCTGGATCTGTTTCTTGAGTCATGTGCATCTCTGTGCATGAGAAGAGAATTGAGAGGTTGGAAAGATACATGTTTGTTCCGGGAATTTTTCATGTTTGCTGATTGATCATTTCATTGTTTCTTGCATTTAGAAAAGGAATCCATGACCATACCAGGGGGCCTTCTGAAAGTGCATAGAAAATGCATATTGTGAGAAACTATGCATGAATTTCAATTTTTTTTTTTGCCCCCAAAAGAATGTACACTTACTTTTTTTTCTTTTTTTTTTCCTTTTTTTTTAGAGGTTTTTGCTATAGGGCACGTGCGCTCACCAGGAAGACAGAGAGAAATAGAGAGACAGAAAACAAGAAATCAGAAATTACCCCCCAGCGGGATGGGCATGCCGCAATCCCTTCTCCTCCATTCTCCTCTTGGGATCCTGGGCACATGTGCACACGCGTCCAGCGTGAGTTTAAGCCACCGGGTCCAGGACTCAAACTGCAGTCGACTATATGAGAGTCCAGTGACATAGCCATTGTGCTAAGTTATGTACCATGAATGTATACTTTCATTCCATTTTTCATAAACTTTTTGAAGTCACTGCATATTATGAAAATTGTAAACAATATTGAAAACTACTTTTAAAAATCAAACTAGAGCATTCAGAATCCTGCCACTCAGTGGGCAGCCTTTCTCGATGAAATTCCATGCCTGGCATTGTAGGGATGCTACTACAGATCCGAGCTCAGTGTAGAGAGCTCACATGGACTGTTACTGTTTTCCTGATCAGCTACTTGTAGACCTCTTTTCCTGTTAATGAAGCATGGTCTAGGGGTCCACAGCATGCTATTTCCTTGCATGGATGTACGATATGTGTCTAATTTTTAAAAATTATTATTATTTTTACGAATCCCTTATTGTTTCATTTTGTTTCTTTCCTTTTCTTTTCTTTTTTTTTGTAGTAAATCTGTCAACAGTGGGCTTGCCCATGGCATGATGGTTATGCTCTATCCCACATGGCTGACTGTGTGAGCTGAGTCCCAGACCATGAGGCTCAAGAAATACACTGGGCATGGGAACCAGCAGTTAGCGTAATGGCTATGTCGCTGGACTCCCACGTAGTCAACCGCGGTTCGCGTCCCGGACCCGGTGGCTTAAAACTCACGCCGGGTGTATGTGCGTGCGTGCCCAAGATCCCGAGAGGAGAATGGAGGAGAAGGGATTGTGGCATGACCATCCTCCCTGGGGGGTGATTTCTCGCTTTCTGTCTCTATGTCTCTCTCTGTCTGTCTGGCGAGCACACGCACCCTATAGTGAAAACCTCTCCCAAAAAATAAAAAGAAATACACTGGGCCCATGTACATATGTGCCCAAAATCCAAAATGGAAGGAGAGATAGAGGAGAAGAAATTGTGGCATGACCATTCCCCAGGGTGGTGGGGTGCTTTCTCACTCAAAAAAAAAAAAAAAAAATGACCAGAGGGTACATACACACATGGAAGGTGGAAGGGGAGAGGGAGAAAGCAACCCCAACAGGATGTTGTCATGCTACAATCTCTTCTCCATTTCTCCATCCTGTCAGGATTTGGGGCATGCACACTTATGTGCCCAGCGTGTTTCTCAATATGCTGGGGCTGGGACTTGAACTGTATGGTCACCCATGTCAGATCTGGCTCCCTTAACCACTAGGCCATGAGACCAGCCTACTAATATAATTTTTTTCCTATCTCAGTCAACTAGATGCTTTAATTGGTTTTGTTGTTAGTCAGGTATGGTGAAGCTGACAGATGTGGACACGGTGGCCATAGACAAGATAGATAGATAGTCACAGTTCCCAAGAGGGGGCTCACCACACTGCAGGGGCTGCACGGGAAGCACCAGGGTGAGCTAGGTGGTGGAGAGAGCCAGGGGACAAGCACTTTTACTGTGGCCTCTGCAGGTGGGGCAGGGTAAACACTGTTAGGGTTGGCTCCTTGGCATAACTTCAGTAGGCTGCGGGGTAAAAAGGCTGCCAGTAGTTACCCGGCCGTCAGGCCCTGAGGTGATTAGGGAGGCAGAGAACAGCTTGGGATGCGAGAGCTGGGTAGAGCAGGCAATTGGGCTACAAGCTCTGGATTGGTTGGTTTGCATTTGGAAAGCATGCCCACAGGCCAGCCTTCACTGTGGCTAGAAACTGGCCAGCCCTGGAAGGAGCCATCCCTCTAGGGTCAACCAGGCCCCAGGTGTCAAAGCATGAGAACATAGAACTAAAAGGCAAGGTTAACTCACCAGACAGCTTTGTGCTCCCTCGCCTCTGCTGGCAGAGCTCTGCCATTCTTAACTCTTTGGAGGTCAGTGTTTTCCTCCTGCCTCTACCTGTCCAAGGCCAAGTTTCTGGCACAAGCCCTGTGCCCTGGCTTAGTGGCTGCCCCTCCCACTCTCTGGCAGGAAGCTTCCTTCGAGTACCTGCAGAATGAGGGCGAGCGGCTGCTTCTGGAGGCCATGGATGAGCTGGAGGTGGCGTTCAACAACACCAGTGTGCGCACCGACTGCAACCACATCTTCCTCAACTTCGTGCCTACCGTCATCATGGACCCTCTCAAGGTCGCGCCTCTGGGGAGGGTCTCACCAGGCTCTGGATTTGTCCTCGCTGGGCTCTGGATTTGTCCTCACTGGGCCCTGTAGCTCTTCATGCCATGCGGCTTTAGGGTATCTCTGGCACTGAAGACCTGAGTTCTGGGATGAATCTGTACATGTTTGAACCTTCTGCATTTCAGCCACGGCTGTAGAACGTGCCCTCTTTCCAGGTTTACCCTCTTCAAGCATACTTCACTTTAAGGAGAACACGGATGCCCATGGTGTCTCGTAAAACAAAGTTTTGTCCTCTCATTGATTCCAGGCTCTGCTGGGAACTGCATGGAGGGGGAGTGGAGTAAGACCTCGAGGTCTGGGGCTGGGCTGTTCTCCATCAGCTCGTTCTTCATAAGTAGACAGACTTGTGGTGGTGATTCTGGGGTGAAAGAAGCTCCAGAATACAATTTTAGTGTCTATGGGGTGGAGGAGCCGAAGTGGCTACCCCAGCTTTACCAGTTGATGTAATTGCAGAAGAAAACCATGCAAAGGCTTAAGAGGCATACAGAGATGGTGTAGTGTATGAGCCCAACTCTGTCATTGTCGGCCTGTCTCCCATCTGTCCATGAGTTAAAAATGCCTGCCTCTTTGAGTACTTTTGAGGACAAAATGAAGCAGTGAGTTGAAATGCTCAGCCAGATGCCTCTGGTTGTCACCGTAGTTTTGGTGGGATGCACGCTGGATTCCAGGCATCCTGCATTGTGTACATCTCACCGTCCCGGTATCCTCAGTGTCATTGCAAGTGTGCGCGGGGCAGACTCTGAGACCTGAACTGCTGTGCTCTGCGCAGATCGAGGAGTCCGTGCGCTCCATGGTTATGCGCTACGGCAGCCGGTTGTGGAAACTCCGCGTGCTACAAGCTGAGGTCAAGATCAACATCCGCCAGACCACCACTGGCAGTGCCATTCCCATCCGCCTGTTCATCACCAACGAGTCGGGCTACTACCTGGACATCAGCCTCTACAAAGAAGTGACTGACCCCAGATCCGGAAACGTAAGGGTGGGCTGGGCCACAGAGGTGTAAGTCAGAACAGAAATGGTGCTCAGCACATTCAGTGTAGGTTAGAGGACATTGGGGGTCTGGTGGGGGGCAGCCTGGCTGTTCTATGCCAGATTGGGGAGCTCCTCTGAGAGCTCCTTGTATAGCTCCATGTCATGATAAACATGTTCGCCTACAAGTCCCTGTTGTTCATTCTCTTGGGAAAGAAAATGAATCCCTCAAAGGTTAATCCATTCTATGGTCATATTTAGGATAAGATGATTGAGTATAATGAACCTACCAGATTGGTGTTTTTCCCAGCCGTGGTTTAGAACAGACTTTTACAAAGTGAATTAAATATCCTTTGACTGCATTTTATTGATGTGTGTGTGTGTGTGTGTGTGTGTGTGTGTGTGTGTACACAAGGGGTCTTTACAAAGATCATGGAGAATACATATTATGAAAAAGCAGGACCAGCAGTTGGCATAATGGCTATGTCGCTGGACTCCACTGCTCGAGTCCTAGACTGGTGGCTTAAACTCATGCTGGGGACATGTGCGTGTGTACCCAAGATCTTGAGAGGAGAATGGAGGAGAAGGGATTACGGCGTGGACATCCCCCCTGGAGGGGTGATTCCTCACTTTCTGTCTCTCTCTGTCTTTCTGGCTAGTGCACACGGCCTATAGCAAAAACCTCCCCCCACTCAAAAAAAAAAAAAAGAAAGAAAGAAAGAAAAAGGAAAAGCTATGCATGGATTTCCAGGTTTTTTGGTACCAAAATGAACATGTACTTTAATTCAATTTTCTATAAACTTTGTGAAGTTCCCTCTCATGTGTATACATATACACATGCATATATCAGTATGTATGTGTGTATATATACACTTTTTTAAAAAGAATTATTTATTTAATTTTATTTATTCATTTATTTTAATTTGACCAGAGAGAGACACAGAGAAAAAGAGGGAGGAAAAGTGAGAAGCAAGTCACCAGGTCCAGGACTTGAACTGTCGTTGGCCATTTGGGAGTGTCCAGCATCTTAACCACCACACCACCTGCTGGCCCCTGTATACACTTTTTAAGAAGAATTATTAACTTTATTATTATTATTATTATTATTAATTTGCTGTAGGGCATGTGCATTCACCAGAGAGAGAGAGAGAGAGAGAGAAGGAAAGTGAGAAAGCAAGCATCTTAACTACCACACCACCTGCTGGCCCCTATATACACTTTTATTTTGAAATATTTCGAGACTCAAGAAGTTATTAAAAAAATAGTACAGAGGAAAAAAAATAAAGCATATTTTCCCCATGCTCTTCATCTGACTTCCTCCAATGATCACCTCTTATTTATCACTAGTATGCTGTCAGTAACCGGAAATTGACATTGGTGTGGTACTGTTGTTACATACAAGTTTATTTGGATTTCACCCATTTTTACCTGTGCACTTCGGTGTTGCTGTGTACACACATGTGTGCACGTAGTACTTTGATCCATCAAAATTTTGGAGCTGTGTCTCCATCTCTCCATAAACCCTTCTCATTCAGGATGTCCACAGTGGCACAGAAGAGACTCTGAGCCATCCCAGACCCTCACTTTTTTGCGTGATGCGAATGTGCTGCTTCCCCCATTGAGTTCCTGGGGGTCTGGGTGGAGATTAACTGGAGGAACTTGGTGTTTGAACCCGGCCTCCCTCACTGTCTATTTTCCTTTCTTTCTGGTCCAGATCATGTTTCACTCCTTCGGCAACAAACAAGGGCCCCAGCATGGGATGCTGATCAACACTCCCTACGTCACCAAGGACCTGCTTCAGGCCAAGAGATTCCAGGCTCAGTCCTTGGGGACCACCTACGTGTACGACTTCCCGGAAATGTTCAGGCAGGCAAGTCCTACAGTGTAGATGTGGCACCACCCCGTCTTCCCAGACTAGAATCAAACCCCTGTCCTTAGTTACTCTTCTGAAGACCCACTCTAAAGAACAAGGTCATCAGGCCAGTAGGTGGCATGGTGGTTAAGGCAGCTGGATCCCACATGGCTGACTGTGTGGTTCAAGTCCCAGACCCAGTGGCTTAAAAAGCATGCCAGGAGTGTGTGCATACATGCCCAAAATCCCAAGAGGAGAACAGAGGAGGAGGGATTGTGGCATGGCCATCCTCCCTGGGAGAGTGATTTCTCACTTTCCTCTCTCTGTCTCTCTCTAGCAACCTCTTATGTCCTATTGCAAAATAAATAAATTTCAAAAAGTCTTCATGAAGAAAAAGTAATTAATGTTGAAAGTGACTTCATGGTATTTTTTTCCCCCAAGTAAACCTAATATTATCCCAGTGATGAAGGTATATAATGTAGAACTTAGAAAATGGAAAAGCAGATAAATAAACTTAGAGTTCATGTACCAGTGACAAATTGCTTAACATTCTGAAGTGTTCCCTTCTGGTCTTTTAAATGCTCATTTATTAAGAACCTGCTACTTGCCGGACACCATTCTAAGGCTAGATAGACTGAGGAAGAGAACGGGGTCACTGCCTTTGAGGAATTTCAGTCCTATTTTAAAAAATAATGTTTCGCTGTTTTTCTGATGATGAAAGTAGGCATTAGAAACTACAGAAGAATAGAAATAAATTCATAACATTTCACCCTTGTGGAATCTGCCCACCACTGATGCTTACACTAATATTTTAGTGTGTTTCCTTCAAGTGTTTTTTTCTATGCTCGGGTATTTATTATTTTACATTCTTTTTCCATCCTTTAAATATTTTGTAATTTAAAACAAAGAAACTAGAGAATTCACACTGGGAATTCTCACTTCATGACCTGCTTCTTCATCTGGGAAGGACAGTACTTTCCTAGCGATGACTCTAAGATTTTCCTGTCACTTCCCTCTCCTTAGGCCCTCTTTAAACTGTGGGGTTCCCCAGACAAGTACCCCAAAGACATCCTGACGTACACGGAGCTAGTGTTGGACTCCCAGGGCCAGCTGGTGGAGATGAACCGACTTCCTGGTGGGAACGAGGTAATGGCATAGAGAGCCCAGCTTTTGGTGGGGGTCACCCTTTCCAGGAAGTCTCCCCTGAAGAAACAAGCCATTTTCCTTGTGTGTTGTCTCCTCCACAGGTGGGAATGGTAGCCTTCAAAATGAGATTTAAGACTCAGGAGTATCCAGAAGGACGGGACGTGATTGTCATCAGCAACGATATCACCTTCCGCATTGGCTCCTTTGGACCAGGGGAGGACCTTCTGTACCTGCGTGCCTCTGAGATGGCCCGGGCAGAGGGCATCCCCAAAATCTACCTGGCAGCCAACAGTGGGGCCCGCATTGGCCTGGCTGAGGAGATCAAACACATGTTCCACGTGGCTTGGGTAGACCCAGAAGATCCCCTCAAAGTAGGTCCCAAAGCTGACATGCTGCTGCGATTCTGCTGAGCTAATGTATTTGTATGTCTGTGTGTGTGTGCATGTGTGTGTGTGTATAGCACAAATATTCAGGTAGTGTGTAAACAGCATAAAGTGTATCAGTGGTACTAAAAGGTCATTGGGAGGGCTGGCCCACTAGCACAGCAGTTAAGCACCATATAGAGGAAACCTGATTCTACATGGCTGACCAGGGTTTGAGGCCCAGCCCTGGCAGCTTGAAATGTACACACATGCCCAGGATAGAGAATTGGAGAGAAAAGGATTGCTGTGTGGCCAGGCCCTGTCAGGGGAGGTGGGGAGGTTGGAGGGGTCAGAGAGGTGGGGGTGTGTGGGTGGAAGAGATGGGGAGGTAGGGAAGGAAGATTCTTTATCTTCTTTCTCTCTCTCTCTCTAGTGTGTATACATGCCATCTGCCAAAATTTTGCTATCTGCCAAGCTTTTTTTCTCTTTTTTCTTTTTTTTTTTGGAGAGATTTTCACTGTAAGCTTTTTTTAATTGCACTGTGGGGAGTGGTAATTAGGCAAGAATGTCTAAAAGGACTCATCAGTGGGGCAATCATGGAAAACGATGATAAATACTGAGCTGTCTGTCCTGAGCATCTCCCCAGTACAGAGTTCACTGGGAATGGGAACATGAGTAACACACCATCCCTGGACTCAGGAAGTTCTTAAAATAGTCTGGGACAGGTCAAGGCAGCAGAGCTGCAATGCAAGGCTAAAGTTTACTTATTTCTTCTAGATGAGAGAGAGAGGCACCCCGAATAGAGTCCCCACAGCACAGTCCACCCCCAGCCCCATCCAGCCTGTATTGTGGGCACGACACTGGGTGCCTGGCATGGACAGCGAGGCTCCGGAATATGAACTCAGGACCTTCCAATTTGGGTCCAGTTGTGTTACTGCTGTACCATTATTTGGCCCCTTCTACAAAATCTGTTAATCTGCCAGAGGGTGTATGTGTACTCACTAGAGAGAGAGGGAGAGAATGAAAACACCCCACGGGAGGGTTTGGTCACATTGCAATCCCTTCTCCATTTCTCCATCCTTTTGGGGTTTGGAGCAGCATGAGCACATGTGGTGTGTTTTTCATGCTGCTCGGGCCTTGATTTGAACTGCATTGTCAGCCATGTGGGATCTGGCTCCCTTAACCACTAGGCCTTGGGGCCAGCCCTACAAACGGTTCAAAGTCCCCATTTATGTGCATGCATACAAGGTATGTAAATGGTGCCTATACAGTACATTTTCAATATTTAAATGTCATTGACGAGTCTGACAATGAGAAAAAATGCCTGAGAATTATTCTCCTTAGGGGACCAAACATGGAAAGATTAAGAGACCAAGGGAAGCCTGAGTCTGTGTCATAAAGATGAACAGAAAGTACTTAATCAAAGCTGACCTTTAGTTCATAGCTACTTTAGTGTCATCGTAACATCAGACAACTTAATATGTTATTGACATGTTGTTAACATGTTACTAATATCTACCCTATAATGGTGACATTAAAAATAAAACTGGCTCTTGAGTGCAGGGAACTGAGTTCATATCCTCAGTAATTTTTTTTAATCTGATAGATATTCTTTTTAGGACAGTCTCTGTTTGGTTTTCAGAAATTTAACTCTGACGCATGCAGGTGTTTGTTTTGTTTTGTTTTGTTTTAATTTGCTTTATGGTTGTTTTACCTTTTTAGTTTTGTCAAAGGGCACGCATGCTCATCAGAGAAAGGGGGGCAGAAAGTGAGAAAGCACCTCCCCATGGAACATGGTCACACTGCAATTCCTTCTGCTCCATTTCTTCTTACTGGGATTTTGGGCACACATGCACGTGCACCTGGCATGTTTCTCAAGCCACTGGGTCCAGTACTAGAACTATGCAGTCAGCCATGTAGGATTCAGCTCACATAACCACGAGGCCACAGACTGGCCTCATATCCTCATTCATGTGTTTTTTTAAAGGGATTTAAGTACCTGTACCTGACTCCTCAAGACTACACCAGAATCAGTTCCCTGAACTCTGTCCACTGTGAGCACATCGAGGAAGGAGGAGAGTCCAGGTAACGAACTGATCAAGTAGCCCCTTAAGTCTACTTGTGGGTGATGTCGGCTAGTAGCGTGGAATCGGTCTGTGCCTCCAGGCTTGTGGAGGTTTTTTTTTTTTTTTAATTTTATTATCATCATAATCTTCTTTCTATTACACTAGATTACATATAACTTTACATTGACTTCCATTGCTTTTTCAAAAGGGAATGCCATGCATGTCAGTCAATACAGAGATATCAATCTCCCCACTTTATCATTCAATATCTTTTCCATGCTTTTCCCAATAATTATTATTATAATTTTTTTAAACAATCAATCACTTTTTCTCATTTTGCTTATTAAAAAGACTTCACTCATCATGAAATACTTCCCAGACCGGTTCAGTTGAGAATACTATACATGTCATCATCAACAGGTAGTAAACCATATCTATTTCTCATTAACATCCTGCCTCTCTATTGTTCACTGCTGTCTTTATCCTCTTCTCTCTCCTTTTTTTTTTTTATACTTTGTTTTTTATTATAAATTTTTTTTTCTCATCACAACACACATATGAATTTTCCATCCAAAATACCCTGTGCATTGGCTCAATCAAGCACATCAACATATATGTTCTCAGCAAATGATTTCCCAATTTTTGTGTCCTGCATACCTTGCCTTTTGTTTTGCCATCCTAGATTCCCCATCCCCACCCTCTGCCATGTCCCATCTTCCTCCTCCATTGTCCCTGACATTCATGATTGCCCTCAATGGCTTCCGCCCCCCCCCCCATTCAATTGTTCTACCAATGAACTCAATT